GGCGGGCGGGCGCGCCTGGGGCGGGAAGGGGGCGGGCGGCCCCGCGTCTCCGCTGTGACGTTACAGGGCGGGGCGGGGCCGCTGGCAGGGCGCGCAGCCCCGCGGTGGGCTCCCGATGGGAAGGAAGGGGAAGGGGGGCTGAAGTACGGCCTGTTCTCCTCTTCCAGAGAAAAATGCAGATCTTCGTGAAGACGCTGACCGGCAAGACCATCACCCTGGAGGTTGAGCCCAGCGACACCATTGAGAACGTCAAGGCCAAGATCCAGGACAAGGAGGGGATCCCCCCCGATCAGCAGAGGCTGATCTTCGCTGGCAAGCAGCTGGAGGATGGGCGCACCCTCTCCGACTACAACATCCAGAAGGAATCCACCCTGCACTTGGTGCTGCGTCTCAGAGGTGGCATGCAGATCTTCGTGAAGACCCTGACCGGCAAGACCATCACCCTGGAGGTTGAGCCCAGCGACACCATTGAGAACGTCAAGGCCAAGATCCAGGACAAGGAGGGGATCCCCCCCGATCAGCAGAGGCTGATCTTCGCTGGCAAGCAGCTGGAGGATGGGCGCACCCTCTCCGACTACAACATCCAGAAGGAATCCACCCTGCACTTGGTGCTGCGTCTCAGAGGTGGCATGCAGATCTTCGTGAAGACCCTGACCGGCAAGACCATCACCCTGGAGGTTGAGCCCAGCGACACCATTGAGAACGTCAAGGCCAAGATCCAGGACAAGGAGGGGATCCCCCCCGATCAGCAGAGGCTGATCTTCGCTGGCAAGCAGCTGGAGGATGGGCGCACCCTCTCCGACTACAACATCCAGAAGGAATCCACCCTGCACTTGGTGCTGCGCCTGAGGGGTGGTAACTGAACTGGCTGGTTGTTGCTTGCTTCCAAGTACAAGTTTTGCTGCACTTGTTCATTCCAATAAAGCTGTTGCATCCACAAAAGTTCCTGTCTCAAGTTATGTGAACAGTTATTTATGCCATTAGCCAAATCTACCTAATAAATTATGGTTATGTAGCTTCTGCCTACAAAGGTGTTGCAAAACAGCCTTATACAAGGCATAGACGTGCCTGGCAAGTGTAACCCCTCAGCTGTGGCTCTGCTGTGGTTATGTAAGTTCTCAATATCCGTAAAAGTTATGTGAACAGCTACTTAGGCCATTAAAACCAAATCCATGTGTTTGGTAAACTCCGATTATGTAGTTGCCACATAGGAAGGTATTGCAAAATGCTTTATGGAAGGCTTACGTGTGCCTGGTAAGCGGAACCGCCCCTGGCTGTGGTTGTGTAAGTCTGCTCTGACCTACTTGAAGCACTGGCTGAAGTTCAGTGCCAGGCTGCAGATGCTGGGTGCCTGCTGAGGCTGTGTAACTAGACCTGTGCGATGCAAAACCGCCGTGGTTTTTGAGGCAAGAGGCTCTGACAGCGCTGCGGTGCTCGCCAGGTCCTGGCGCTTTTACCTTAACGGAGTAATGGCAAAAGAGTTACCCTGCGGTTTCACGGGGGGGTGGGTGGTGGGAGGCATCACTGCTGATCCTGCGGCCCTTGACAAGCGCCCCGGCTAGCGCGAGTCTCGCCCAGTTACGGGGTAGACTTCATTTTTTGGAAAGCATATTAAGCAAACTCTGTAACTTCCGATGCACTAGCTGGCTTAAAATCTTCCAGAACGTGCTTTCATCCCGGCTTTGCGCTGAGAGGAAACGCTGCAGTATTGACGAGCTAAAACAAAAGCCAGGGAGCAGTTGCCCCGGGCTGTAAAGGCCCTGGCTGGAGGGCAGCCTCTGCTGGAGTGTTTTGGGGGGCAGTGGAGGTTGCTGCATGCGGGAGCTCAGGAGCAGCTGACCACACTGCACCGGGGAGCGGGAAGAGGGGAAAGTGGGAGGCTGAAGAGTAAAAAACCAAAAATAGGAGCGGGAAGGGGACTTGGGAAGGGGATGGGGTGGGAGTTGGAGTGGAGGTTTCAGCTGATGGCTCACCTCTGCAGGACCCGAAGGGGTCTTGCACCACCCAGAGTGGAAGGGTGGGACAGCGGGATTTGACTGGAGTAACGCCGACTGTTAATTATCCTTGATGAAGAG